AACCCTGTCAAAAAAAAAGTCAAGAAATTTTCCTTATTTTTTTCATACTTACTATCTTTTGTTTATAAGTATAGTCATCTCTCTAGTTCTCCAAAGTTATTGATTTTTTTAATTGATTAACTTATTGACGAGGTACAAAGGAATGAGCAATAAATTGTCTTTTCCCTTCTGTTAAACAATTGTAGTTTTTCCCTTTAGACGTTTAACAGTATTATATATCCTTCCAAAGAAGTTATACTTAAAAATAATGGCATGCTTACTAATACAAACCCTTTTTAAACTCGTCAGACTTTCAGAAGAGCTTTACAGGTCTGTGCATACAAATATAGTCATATCCCCGCCCGCGCCCCCCCCCGGGTTTCTCTGTGGTTTTGGAGCCTGTCCTGGAACTACTCTTGTAGACCAGACTGGTCTCGAACTCACAGAGATCCGCCTGCCTCTGCCTCCTGAGTGCTAGGATTAAAGGCATGCGCCACCACTGCCCGGCTGCTATACCCAGTTTTTAAGGCAGGGTTTTATTACACAGTTCAGTGGTCCTGAGATTGGTGGGATTGTCTGCAGGTGTCAGGCAGGGAAACAAACTGGGAAGATTGAAGAATGCAAAACTCTGTTCAGTGTGACTTAGAACAGTTTATTGACGCCTATTTAGGCACAGTACAACTTAGAGAAAAAGTATCCTGGTATAATAAAATACCTGGTGCTTAGTCACATCAAAACTCAATTCAAAATAAATGCCATGTCTTATAAGAAGATGGGTTTTAGAGATAGGCTACCCTGTATTAGCTTAAGGCCTAAGAAAGGATCTGGCCTGGTCCCAGCCATACAGATAGTGTGGGGTCATTTGGGCTATTAGGCATCTCTGATTCTGGTCATAGGAGCTTGGGGGAGCCTCTGACTATAGAGGTAATGGTCATTTAGATTACTAACCATCTCTGATGTTGGTTGTGAGAGTTTGATCTGCTCCGACCCAACAGATAATTCACCTCCAATTCCCAATGTTCTGGATGAAAAAACCGGTTATATGTTCTTCCCTTTGAAAGGGCAGTCCTGTATGCTTAACATTCCTAGTTTCTCTGATCTGTGGGTACAAGGCCCTGTTCTCAACGCTGGGAGTCCTGAAACACTCTCTGACTAGATAGAAGGCCTCTGTCTCCTCAGTGCTGCAATTACAGGCACATACCACCTCTGCTCTGGTGTTTTATTCATGGCCTTAGTAAATTTTACCATTGCTGTTCAGTTTGAGTTATTCATGTTAGCTGTTATATTCCAGATTGTTGATCCTCACCTGTTTTGACTCCATTTGTCCTGTCAGTGGTGTTATATGTAGATTTCAATCTTCGGTCAGTGTAGATATTAGTTGTTGGGGAATATTGTTTTAAGGTGTGTTACTTTTGTTTATGTTGCATTTGTTTAACTCTGTGAAGCTGTGATTCTTTGCCTGTTTAAAACACCTGACAATCTAATAAATAGCTGAATGATGGGTCAGAACCAAGGAGGCAGGACGGGCACACAAAGTATAAATAGAAGGAGAACCAAAGAAGAGGAGGAGCAATAAGAGAACAGGGGGAGGAGGACATCTGAACCAACCACCCAGCCAGCCATGGATAAGAGTGAAAGTAAAATATACAGAAGAAAGAAAAGGAAAAGACCCAGAGGCAAAAGCTAGTTGGAATTATTTTAGAAAAGCTGACAAGAAACAACCCAAGCTAAGGCCCGACATTCATAACCAAGAACAAACCTCTGTGTATAGTTCATTCAGGAGCTGGGTGGTGGGCTCCCCAAAGTCAAAAGACCAAAGAGTAAAAATGCCACCACCAACAATTAGTGGCGTTAATAAAACAATAATAGTACTGAAATAGATTACCTGAATTTGATTTTCAGACCCTATATGATAGGAGAGAACTGACCCCTTCCTTCAGTTGCTTCTGACCTCCAAATAATCTATAGCATGCATGTGTATACAAATATTGGTGAGTGGATATTATTTATCTGGTTACCCATAAAACTTCTCTCTCTCTCTCTCTCTCTCTCTCTCTCTCTCTCTCTCTCTCTCTCTCTCTCTCTCTCACACACACACACACACACACACACAACACATACACTATGTATTTTATATGAGACTCAAGATTATACAGAGGTAAGAAGAGCTGATTCTGAAACCAAGTCTTATTGACTCTGAAGTGTTACACATTCTTTCCTTAGGGGAATTTCATACAAGTTGTAGGTACTTCCCAATAAAAACATAGGTGACAGTTGGTAACTATATTTTTGTTGTTTTTGTTTGCTTGTTTTGAGTCTCCCTGTATAAACCTGGCTAACCTGTCACAGAGATCTGACTGCCTCTCTTTTTTGCTGGCATAATTGCTGGCATTAAAGGCGTACTTTACCCCACCCAGCATATTTTTTGTTTAGATTTAGATTAAATTCTAAGCCTGTGACTCTGGTATTTTCCATACTAAGTTTATGTTTGATTTACTGGTATATTCTTGTTTGTATTTAGTGTAGAATTTTACATCTATTTTAAATTTAGAATGAATTGCCTTATGTTATCTTTAGCGTCTTTGGAAGTGAGGAAAGTCCATAAATCTCCTCTAGCATTCTGTTCTCTCTCTCTTTACATTTTCATGCCACCTTCGAGTTTGGGAAAACTTTAGCAAAAGGTTTCTTTACATATATTGCATATTGTTCTAGGCAGGAAAGATTTATGGATTACATGAGGAAGCCTGAGTCAACTTGTCAAAATAGGTCTTATTGCAGTACCACTCTTTTTTTTTTTTTTTTTTTTTTTTTTATAAGGGAAGCACAAGTTTGGAAGGAAGGGTGTTTCCTGTGTGGTTACAGTATATACTTCTCCGTAGCTCTTTCCCTGGAAACCAAGAAGAGTTGGATGACAGTGCACTTGGGGACATGTCGCTGTGAGTTGGGAGCCCTATATAGATAGGCCCTTCCTTGCCATGCTGGAGCTGAAGCCTGTTCTCCTTTTTATCTGGCTTCATTTCTTTTACTTCAGTTTGCTAGAGCTCATCAACTGTTTGCCAACAGCTGGGAATGTCAGTTTATGGTAGGAGACTGTCTTGGTGTGAAACTGGAAGTCATTTATAAACTCAGAATTCTAACAGTTTCAAGGTCCTTATACATAAATAAAATATGCTCAGCAGATTTTAAAAATATCTGTAGTCTTAGGAGTTGCTACTATTTCACTAGAGAAGCATCCATTTCACAATCTTCTTTTAAAAGGCTACCCTTTTTGCCTTTCCCTTTGCTGTCCTCTGCTTACCTTCTTACTGCCTGGAGTTTTGGTTTCCTTGACAGTCTCTCCCAGCAGCCCAGATTGACCTTGACACCTTCCCTCCTCTATCTCCCTGGTGCCAAAGGCTTTTGTGCTACTCTGCCCAGAATTTTTCTTTTTGCATATTAGTGGAATTTACTGGGATTCTGTATCACACAACTAAAAATAGCTATCATTTATTAAAAATTGCCTACCACTGTTCTAAACTCTCTTTAATCCTCAATTAACCCTCAAATAATTCCACTTGAGTGGTACTGCTATCACCTTTTTGAAAGAAAACATTGCAGTGGGTTTTTGAATGTTGGTTACCTTGCATTGACTGTGTGGATATATGTGAGGTGGGGATCGAACACAGAGCGTCACATTCAATTACTCCAACACAGAAAAAAAAAGTTTTATATTTATATTTCTCCTTACAAAGGACACTAATATGTTTTTTCTTCTTTGCCATGTTGAGGCTAGATGCCTGAGCCACACAGATGGTACACAAACACTGCCATCACTGAACTACCCATACTTACAGAGGCCCTTCACATTCTTCACTTTTACTCTCTGACTAATAGAGCATGAGACGATTCAAGAAACATGGTAAAAAATAAAACTTCTGAATTTCACTGTTGTAGATACATCCATTTTATTAAAATATGAAGGTAAGGACTGGAGAGATGGCTCAGAGGTTAAGAACACTGACTACTCTTCCAGAGGTCCTGAGTTCAATTCCCACGGTGACTCACAGTCATCTGTATTGAGATCTAAAGCCCTCTGCTGGTGTGTGGGCAAACATGCAGACAGAACACTATGCATAATAAATAAATAAATCTTGTAATAAAATAAAATATGAAGGTAAACAGTAAATGGTACTTTTACTTTTTTTCCTTGACATATCCACTGAAGACATCATCTCATCTATGAACAAATTCAAAGTGCTGTTCTTTGAACTATTTAGCAGTGGTGGTCATTTGTTTAAGTTTACACACAAGTTAATGCCTGTTGCTTTACAAATAGTGGACACACGGTATGATTTGTATGTGTTGGTATTTCATGCATTCATTCAACAGTACCAAATTATTTTATTGCCATGTTCTAAAGATAGGTAAGAGTTGGGCATGGTGGTGCACATGGGGCAAGCTGATCTCTGTGAGTTCAAGGGGCCAGTCTTGGCTACAAAGCGAGTTCCAGGACAGCCAGGGATTTTTAACAGAGGAATCACATCTAAAAAGTCAAAACCAAACAAACAAAAAAGTAGACAGTAAAATATATCCTGCATTCTCCAAGAGATTCCAGAATAGAAAGATAAAAGGCTAGTGAGGCATGAGCCCTTCTTTATAGGAATGAAGAAGAACAAGAGTCCTGGGGTCTGAATGGCTCAGGAATGCCAAGACTTTGCTGAGCAAAACATTTGAGGAGCTGGATGATGGCATAGTGGCATGCAGTTCTATGGTGTATTTGAGAAGGTGCCAAAATTGTGCCGTGGTTGCCAGAGAAGTCATTGGGGAGCCAGTGAAATCTCTAAGAAGATAAATTCCTAACAACTCAAGGGAGTCCTGTGTGCTTCCTCCATAGAGTATCATAAGTTACCCTGGAAGTAATTAGTGGATAGAGTTGTGTTGGATTTTAGTTGGGTCATTTTTTTTTCTTTTTCTTTTTTTTCTTTCTTTTTTTTGGGGGGGAGGCGGGGGGGGTAGACGTCATGAGACGGTCAGAACTTTGCTTAAAAGAAGGACATTCCTTCTTTGCAGAGTTTTCGTTTACATCATCTTAGTGCTTTGAGTTTATATAAATCAGATTACTAACTTTGGATTTTTTCATTCTGTCTGTTCACTTCTTAACTTTTTAATGTTAATCAGGGAGAACCATGATGTTCTTGAGTTGAAGATGTACTAAGATATGTTCCTAAAATTCAGCAAAATATGGTTTTGAATGTGTATCTATTATTATAGCCAAATAAGAAAAACGTTTATAACTGTAAACCTTGGCTTATATTAGTAAGGAGTACTATTGGTAATGGTGATGAAAAAAGAAATTATGCCAGCTTTTGAGAGTAATTCTTTGTAATGATAATTTATTAGGTTGGTTTCCTGGAGAAAATAACAGAACAGTTGGTCAATCTGGAATATAGTGTTGCCTTGGTAACTAATGAGAATGCAAAGAAACCAACCAATCATGGAACATACAAAAATCTAAGGCCCTGAACAGGTTAAATATCAACTCCAGGCACCAAATACAGAAACATCTGCCAGTACATCTGGCTGTACCAACTCCCTTGGTGGCTTGCCATGACATTGTATATCTGACCAAAGAGTCATAGAAAATACCTTGTGACCAGACACAGAAAATGTATTTTTATCAGACTGAAAATAGAAGCCTGAAATTGTATATATCCAAATGGTATTCCACATCACAAGTTTTTGGACTGAGCTGTATGTTTGAGGCCCTAGGTTTAAATCCCAATGCTGGAAAAAAAAATATATGTGCCTAATTGAGAATAATTTAAGGCTATTTTAATGATAGTGGAGGTCAGATCAAATGATATAGAAACATTGCAGTCTACCTATCCTCTCACTGATTTCCTTTATTGTTTTGAGACACAGTTTCACTACATAGCTCTGGCTATCCTGGAACTGACTATGTGGACCAGGCTGGCTTTGCCCTGTCTTGGGCCAAAGCAGCTTTATTCATTAACCAATAAAACAACACATATACAGAAAGACTTCCCATACCATTCCCCCTTTTCTGTCCAAATAAAAAGAAAGGTTTTAACTTTAACATAGTAAGAGTACATATAAAAAACAGGTATCAAGCAAGAATTGCAGTTACAATATTTATAACTAAGGAAAACTATCACTATCTCTTCTTCAATTCCATCAAAGACCCCAGAAGGACATAATATTTTCTAAGTAAACAGGAAGTGCATTGTTAGCAACTGGACAGTCACCCAAAGTTCTTTTTTTTTTATTCTTTTTTTTAATATTTATTTATTTATTTATTTATTATGTATACAATATTCTGTCTGTGTGTATGCCTGCAGGCCAGAAGAGGGCACCAGATCTCATTACAGATGGTTGTGAGCCACCATGTGGTTGCCGGGAATTTAACTCAGGACCTTTGGAAGAGCAGCCAGTGCTCTTAAGCTCTGAGCCATCTCTCCAGCCCCCCAAAGTTCTTTTGTAACATTGGGGCATCCATCTTTTGCCTACAGGCCCATAGTATCCTGCAGACTTTTCCATGAAGCAGGCCATTTCAGAGACAGTTCTGCTTAGATTGGCAGTTTGTCATTCACTTTCTTTTGTGTCTGGCACACTCTTTTATGTAGCAGGAACCCTGAAGGACTGTCTCACTTTTAGGCCAGTTCAATCATTTTTCTGTGGGTCCTGTATGTCCAGGTTGTGTAGCATACCATCAAGTAGTCCAGGCAAGAGCCATTTCTTGCCCAAATGGCTGATAAACTCTATAAGGAGTCTCTTCGATGCCTATCATCTTCTTGAAGTAGATTGGTGCTGCCAGGAGCAGATTTGTCTCATTGTCATGAAAAGTCCTAAGTTCTTTAAACATTTTAAATGCCATATTCTGTTAAGTCTTTGAAAGGTTTGAAGGATACCTATCCATCTGAAATATGTCTCTATACATCTAGAAAACCTAACTAACGAGACTACCAGCTTGACTATTATAGATGGCCATCTATTAACTGTATTTCTTAATTATTTATTACATTTTAAAATGAACTGCACAAACACCATACCTTAAGAGCAGAAATATACATATAATAAAATTGACCTTAAGTTTGTATCAATAAACCAAGATCCATAGTGATGCAAAGTGTCTGTCTCTATAGCACACCTCTACTTCCACAGCACTTTTATAGAAACTGTTTTATTATTCATCTACCTCTGTCCTGGTCACCCACATGGCAGGTGTGGTATGTCTCCTTCCCTCCCTAGGAGCACTCAGGAAAAGATTACCATGTAGTTCATAAGTCTACAGGAAGGAAAAGAGTTTTGTGAAATGCTAAAGGACTAATGTTTGAGGCCATCTTATGCTAATGAGTCCCTGTTTCAAAAAAATATTAAACTATTTTTCTTTGCTAGTAAAGGAAATATTAAAAATAGAGAGCCAGACCTGACCATGGTGATGAATATGGTTAACTCCAGTATTTGGAAAACTTGAAGATACTTATTACCAGCCAATATGGGCTGTGCAGTAATACCCTGTTTTACAAGTAAGTAAGTTGGGCAGGTATGGTGGCACATATTTTTAATCCTAACATTCTGGAGGTAGGAGCAGGCCAATTCTGTGAGTTCTAGGCCAGCCTGCAGACCAGCCAGGACTGTGTAGTAAGACCTTGTGTAAGCCTGGAGGGAAGCTAGGTAGTAAATAAATAATAAACTTTAAAAGGAAGAAATAGGGAGGTAGCTCACTCAGAAAGTGTTTGCCTTGAATGCATAAAGTCCTGAATTTGATCCCCAGAACCTGTAGACTGTAGAAAGATTAGCAAGATGGGATAGGCCTGTAATTTCAGTGTTATGGAGGCAGAAGCAGGAGGATATTGGAGCTCCGTCACTGCTCAACTGGTCTAACCTAACTGGTAACCTTCCATCCAGTGAGAGCCCATCTCAAAAGAGGTAGTTGGTGTTCTCCAAATGATGTGCTATTTTCCTTTACCCTCCAGGCATATTCATATATATCAATGCACAGATAATTTTTTTAAAAAGAATTTGGGTGGGGATTTGTCTAAGTGGAAGAACATTTGCCTGGCATATGCAGGACCCTCTGTTTGATACTAGTACCAAGTTGACGGGACTTTTTCAAAAAGTATGTCATCCAGTAAATAACGTGAACTCTTAGTCAGTGGTATAGGAAGGTGGTGCTCAGAAATGAGGCCTCAGGTTTCCCATTATATTTTCACCTTTTGGTTGTGGGCAAAATACTTTTTACCCCCTTTTGGACACTCTTTCTGTAAAATGAGGGGAACAGGTTATAGGAGCTGTTCAGCATCCTGTATACACATTTCAGTGTCCTTACAGAACTGTCTTTATTGTATATTTTGGATTCGGCAAATGGGATATTTTTTTTTAGGCAGTTGGGTTTTGAGAGTTAGCTGTTTTATCCTCTTTCCATTAATACAACATTGAAATTAAGTTTTAAATGCGTGATAGCCATTATGTGCCCTCCCCCCTCCTTTTGTACTAGTTGGGAAAGCCTAGGTAAACAGGATAAAAGTAAAAATAATTGGGATTCAGGAGCAAGTTTCCATGCCACTTTTTTCTATCGGCATCTAGTAGCCAACTCATGGCCACTGTGTTCAGACATGCTGCTACCTCCCTGTCATGGGGCAACAGGGCTATTGGATGTACTGGTCCCTAGAACCTCAAGTTTAAAATCCTCATAGGCTCTGAGTTCTGTGACACTGGTAGCCCAGAGACAAGAGGAACCACAGAATTCAGCGTATCAAGCTTGCATATAAGGGATGCACAGGGACTTGAGAAATGCTGTACATCGCTCATCTTTGCTCTCAAAGGTAGAATGGGTTTTTTGTTTTCTTTTGAATTGAAGCAGAGTTTTAAGTTCTAGGCTGGTCTCCCAACTTCAGCTGCCTGAATCCTTAGAACCACAGGGATAATACACAAACCACCACCACTGCCGTCATCATTTTTACTCTTAGGAAAGTCCTTCTTTAGGATTGTGATGGACTTTTTCACAGAATCATGTGTTAGGACAGGAAGTGAATTATAAGCCAGACAACAAAATCAGTTTTGCTCCAAGCAATGCACTATACAACAGTTTTATAGTATAAAGTGGTCTCTCCCAGTCTAGAAATTTTGTTGTGTGATCACTCAGCCCTAAATATATGGTTTGTAAGCTACAAAGGAAGCTCTGCCTGCACTAAATGGGAGCAGTGGGGAACAAGCAGTAGGAAGTAGTAGTTTTTGTCTAGAGTGTTTGCATAGTCAGTCCCTAGGAAGTGCAGGATAGGTACAGGAGGGAGCACCCAGCTTATGCAAGGAACCAAGTAGTAGAAAGAGAATGAAAGCACAAGTGTGATATGCATTTGCACTTAGTGTTTTGTTATTGGAATGCGTGTCCAAAAGCCTTGTGCACTGGTGTTTTTGTGAGAGGGTTTCATTTTTGTAACCCAGGCTGGCCTCAGAGTCCCACTGATTTATTTGCATCTGCCTCCTCAGTACTAGGGTTAAAGTTGTGCACCCCCAAGCCTGGCATACTAATGTCTTTAAGCCCTTCATTCAACTCCCAGTACGGGCACCCCTAGAACTCATGGGTCTTTGGAAATCCTACCCAAGTCAGCTTTTGAATTTTATAAAGAAACCAAATTAGAGACAGTTTGGCTGACAGTTTTGAAAAAGCCTTATCATTGGAATTTGATCCCTAGAACCCACATGGCTGAAGGGAACCATCTCCTGAAAGTTAATCTTTGACTTCTGTGGTGAGTGCTGACTTCTGTGGTGAGTGCACATACATTAAATGAATAGAGTGAAGGGAAATGGGAGCGGGCCAGTGAGCTGAGAGGAAAGGCATCTTCTCACAACCACAAGTAGTTCTGGAAAGAATTGGATCAGCTGCTGTGACAGCAAATCCACCCACGTTCTGTCTCAATTTCACATTAAGGTGCAAATCTGAGCAATTCCCTGGAGTTATTCTTCAGGGCTTATAGCTGAGGATCAGCAAATGAGCCTTGCTTACTTTTAAAACAGTTTTTTGAGTGGGTGCATTTAACTGCTAGGCATAGAATCAGCTAAGTGGATGTGTGGGTACACGTGTATCTATATCAGTGAAAACTGCAATAATTACTATCCTCAGTGCCTGGATTGGCACCATACCATATTTTAAATTATAGGGCTAAACAGAGTGCTAGCTAGCAGGAAATTATATTTACAGATTAACAAACAGTGGCATTCTTTTTCTTTTTGTTCATTCTTCCTTTTCACACCTGGTAAGTACATTTAGCACTCAACTGCGTGAGGAAAAAGGGGATTGCGAGGAATACAGAGCTTACCATGAGTCCTTGGAGCTTGCTGTGATGTCACTGCAAACTCCGTGTGAACGTGGGTGGTGTGAGAGCTCTGAGTGAGTGGGGGAGCAGTGGAATAGACGATGTTGCTCCCAGACAAGCAGCCAGCCTCTCTCACTGCTGCGTGAGACCAGCGCTCCAAAGGCAAGCCTTTAGAGTACAGAATGGACTCCCCCAAAGAAATCAGTCAGACTGGATTTGAATGGCAGAGGACAGAGGGTAAACTGAATGAAATCGGGCTGAATGTCGGCATGGATGGGCAGCTGAAAGAAGCGCTTGTGAAGAATACCAGCTTCCTGGAGCAGAATAATAAGCTCTGCTATTTTGAGGGGAAGCTAGACAAAGAACTCAACATCGAAGAGCCTAACAAGGCGTATCAAGCCACCTCCGGTCACCTTGAGAGCAGGTATGTGATTTCAGAAACCTGCCATCCCTCAGAGGGCTTAGCACACCAGAAGACAGCTGAGTTCCCTCTGGGACTCACGGATGGGCAAGACAAAGCCTCTATAGTTCAGGGGAAGGTGGCGGGGAAGAATGGACTAGACACCAAAAGCCAGCCAGATCTGAATTTTCCTGGGGCTGCTGATACCCTCGCTCAGTACAGTAAGGAGCAGGAAACCAGTGCTTGGAACCCCAACTTTCACTCCGTGACTCAGAGCCCTCAGGTCTCAAGGGCTGCAACTACAGGAAAAGAGGAGAATGGCTTTATCTCCAGCTGCCCAGCAATTGGGGTGATGAACGATACCTCCGAGCAGCCTAACAATCAGTCCTCGCTGCCGGTAGCTATTACCCACCCCGCCCCCATTATTGAGCGTTTGCCCGCCAGCAGTCCACCAGTCACTACGGTGGAATTCACTCAGGATAATTTGAATGCAGGCTTTTACGGCCCAGGCCAGAATAAGGAGTTGGAGAAATTGAGTTCTACAGAGGAGGGACCTATGCTTGACCAAGCCCCCCAGCAGAAAAAAGCAATGCGTAGAGCCCTGTCTGAGTGTTACCACCTCTCAGTGCCCCCGGCTGTGAACCTTGCTGACAAGTACCCTGAGCTACCTTTCCGAGAGGAGCTTCCTTCTGGTGTGCTTCCTCCCATCAGCAGCCCAATGCCAAGCCCTGTGCCCAGGAAACTGGGAGTGCCTGCCATGAGGCGCTCCATGACTGTGGCTGAGGAGCAGTCAGCTAGTTGCAGGCTGAGTACTGGGGAACTGCCCCGCTTGCCTGATTCAGAGGTACCCACTCATTTAACCTCCGAGGAACCAGTGGCCAAGAAGAGAGAAGAACTGATCCTCAGCCAGGACAACAGCAGCTCTGGGAAGAAGGAACCGGACAATACTGGGGTCTATCTCCCCAGTAAGCTGGAACAGATTCCTGAAGGAAGCAGCAAGGAAAGAGAGCAGGAAGATACTAGTGAGGCAAGAGTTGATTCATGTTCCGTCATCTGCCAGGGAAGTGAGAAACAGCCAGGACAGACAGCTCTGTCAGGGAAGAAAGAAATTGAGGTCACTGCAACCCAGAGCACTCCATTGTTGCTGTGCGAAGAGACCCCACGTGATGGTATGTTTCTAAATTCTGCCTCCACTGGGAACAAGCAGACAGTGAGGAAGGAGCCAAAGCGATAGGTTACTGACAGGAGCATCAGCAGCTCATTACTCCTGGTGGGATTGCCTGGGGGAAAGCTTAATTCCCTTGTTGGACGCTTGCTGGGAGTGAGGCAAAAGAGAACAAAGTGAATCTGGCTGTGTCAGTCCGAATGTCTGACTGGATGTGGACTGGCTAGGTTGGCAATGGGTTGGGGGCAGGAGTGGTGGACATTTAAAAACTAGAACTGCTTAACATCACACTACCCTCCCTATCCCATCCCCCATCTTCCCACCCCTCTGATCCTGTTGGTTTGAACCAGATGATTCTTGAGCTCAGATCGTCCCACTGCCATTGATTGATTTACTTGTTTGAAAAAAACCTATCACTTTGTTTAGATTCACAGTGGGTTCATCAGTACTAACCTCCTTTAAGTTGCACAGTTTGGGTGGAAGCTGTTTTCCCTTCTGCTTTGGAGGATGTTTTACTTTTTGTTAAAGTTAAAAAGGGACATTTTATACCTGACTGTTTTAATATTCTCCCCCTGTCCTTTATGTTTGACTGTATCATGCTTCTAGTTTTCTCTTTGTGCATGTATTTTGAGGGTTTATAGGAAGAAGAAGAAAGGAAATTGAGGAGAGGAGAGACTTGTGACCCAGTAAGAGGCTGAGCTGCCTGGCTCTTTGTGCCGGCCTTCTGTGCTCTCTTCAGTGCCTTTTCTTTCCTTCCACCCCCACTGCTGGCATTGTTGGTGGTCTAAAAAAAACGCTGGCTTTTTCCTGGATTTAGTTTGACCACAAAGGACCTTGGTTCACAAGGATGTTAATGGGAACTTAAAAGACGTGTTTTTGTTTAAGTAAGCACTTTTCCTAGGACCCATTCTCAATATTCTCTTGAATACATTTTCATGAGATCTTTAAAATAATTGGGGTGGGCATGTATCATGACTTTTGGGCAGAATCCAGTCTTTCCATCTTTACTTGAGTTTATGGGATTGAACTCTAGGTTTGTCAGACTTGTGTGACAAGCACTTTTATCTGAGGAACCATCTCAGGACATTAGCAAGTTTTTTGTCTTTATTTTAAATGGACTAGGCAGAAAAGCTTGTGTTTCTTCTGTGGTCTCTTATATACAGAATTATAAGAATCCAGGTGTCCTGGGCTTTTGCAAACTTGTAGCAATAACAGGACTTAGAAAGTCCTGGTCGAAAAGATCCTCTCATCTGTCATTTGAGCCCCAGAAACCCATGACGGCCATGTCATGGAGAGTTAGTACTGTAGACCTTCTAGTTGGTAGTGAGTGAAGACTTGATTCCTTTCCCCTTTCAATTGTGTCCCCCCACCCTTTTTTTTCCTCCTCCTTTTGGTAGAAGAGATTAAGTTTCAGGCACATACATACTAGGCATGGCTTCGTAAATTACCAAAACTATTGAATTCAGTATGTGACACTGACTGTAATCCTCTTCCAAGCCGGGCAGGATAGTGACTTGTAAAAATTTTGTTAGTTTTAGAACAAGCTTTATAGTTCCCACTAATAAAGTTCATGTTGGCAGGAAAAACCATTCTAAATGACTGACAAATGCACTAACTCCTTCACCTATGAATGTCTGAATCCTGGCCCTAAGCTTTGAAGGGTAATTGGTTAATATGCCTACCGTTTGTCAATCACTGTCTGGGCACCAGAAATTGTCACTGTCCTTAAGCAACTAAACCACCTAGTCAAGGGCTTGGTGGGATTGTGACTCATGAAACGTTTTTTAGGGGAAGACATTTAATCCTGGGTTTTTAAAAATAGAATTGCTGACAGTTCAGAGGTAAAAAGTTGCAGATAAAGGAACCCATGTAAACAAAGGCTTGAGGCCAGTACTGGGTGTGGAGGTGCATACCTCTAATCCCAGCACTTGAGAGACTGAGGCAGGAGGATTTCTATTAGTTCAGAATGATTGCCTAGCAAAGAGAGAAGCAGTGGGAAGGAGAAAGTAGTTCAAAACCAAGATGGCCTTGTTCATTTTAAAGACTATTTATATTTAGGGCATAGAAGACTCTGGAAACCAACTCAAGGATGCGTACATTCAGGCTGTAGCTAATGTGTATCGCTAGGGATTCTCTGTTGTTCCCAGTACATAAGCTCCTTTTCTGCCTGTCTGAGAATTATTTTGTTGTCATCTAGGGGGGGGGGAAATGGGGAAAATACTTAGAAATGGATATCTTCAAGTCTTCTAAGTACTGAAAAATGTCTTGATTGCTAACTACTGTGTTCCCTGCCATTGGACAGCAAACAGCCCAGCCCAAAGTCGTTTACATCAGGATATTGCCCTGTTCATAGTAGGTGGGGTGAACTGGAAGAGGTTAAACAATTGTATTTCCACCATGATGATTGATGCAGGAAGTTTAGTGACTCAGGAGTCTGAGGCAGGGGGATGGCAAATTTAAGGCCATCCTGTGTTACAGAAAATCAAACTTTCGTAGTAAAACAGTTCTATTGTGAATCTCAGTTTCTATGGAATAGTGCAGTGGGTTCCCAGTGATGTTTCTTTATTTCTTCTGTATCCCCGGAGAGGCCTGCACCTAGAATTCTAGCAAGCTCGGCGATAGTAGTAGTAAGAAGGAGAAGAGAATGAAATAGACAGGTTCAGTCTCACAGAAGGACTAGAAAGGGCTGATGAGACAGTGAGGCAGACACCTAAAATGGTCACCTGACCTCCATATGTACACCTTGGTACCCCCTATCATATACACGCAAAATAAATTGGGTGTTTGTTTTTGATAAGAAGAAAGAAAGTCTAGTAAAATCCTAGTTGAAACCCTGTTTTCCTCCATATACCCAGAATTGGGCAATCTGCCTGTGATGGTAGAGGTTCTGACACATGGTTGCATTCTCAGCAGAAGCAGCTGTTGACCTGACCCATTCACAGTGGGTAGCAGTTGCAGGGAGGCCCACCCATCCCCTGTCATCACCAAGTAATCGTGTTATGGATATCTATGAGCTACTTGTCTGACAGTCCTTTCTACCCAGAGGCCAGTTTTGAGGGTTTTTCCTACCTCCTTCCCAGCAGCAGAACAAGACCAAATAGAACAGCAGCCCACCCCGCATGCCAGAGAACAGTCCAGGAGCTGCTTTCTTGTTCCCAGGAGGGAGTACATTGTTACTTAGCTCCTACCTAGTACTAGGAATGTTCAGTAACCCAAGGAATTGCTTTCAGTTCTTCAAGCAATAGCAATGTGGATTGAGAGCCTCAGTAGGGCCGAAAGGACACAGCAGGTCAGAATTTATTGCTAGGGCTCTAAATACTAAATTCCACTTGAACTTAGCCAGAACCTACATGCTAAATATAGGAGAGTGATTGCCTGCTCCAATACAGTATTAGAATTTTAAAGCAGACATCAAAAAGTTGTTTTAACACAGTTACAAGTTTTCTTAAAAAAACAAAACAAAGCCCAATGAGATGTCTTACTTAGTAAATAAAGACATTGCTAACAACCTGAGCTCTGTCCCTGGCACACACAAGGTGGAAGGAGAGAACCAGTACCCGTAGGTTGTCACCTGACCTCCCTCCAGGCACACAGTGGCGTGCATGAGCTAGCACTCTCATCCCACAGTGTGCACCAAAAAGAAAAGTCGTAAAGTATTTTCAGAGCCACTTTACTACATTTATTTACTTGGGGATTTGAGCATTTGGGCAGTTGTGAGCATCATGTGGTAACCACAGGACAACTTGAAGGACTCCATTCTCTCCTTCCATCAGATGTTCCTGGGGATTGTACTCAGGTTGTTGGGTTTCAGGGCATATGATTTTATCTATTAAGCCATTTTTCAGGCCCCTAAGGTTTTTGGGTTTTTTGTTGTTGTTGTTGTTGTTGTTTTTCGAGACAGGGTTTCTCTGTAGTTTTGGTGCTTGCCCTGGAACTAGCTCTTGTAGACCAGGCTGGCCTTGAACTCAGAGATCTGTCTGCCTCTGCCTCCAGAGTGCTGGTATTAAAGGCCTGTGCCACCACCGCCCAGCCTCCCTAAAGATTTTTTAATATTTATTTATTATGTATACAGTGTTCTGCCTGTACACTAAAAGAGAGAATCAGATCTCATTACAGATGGTTGAAGAGCAGCCAGTGCTCTTAACCTCTGAGCCATCTCTCCAGGTCCTGAAAATGGTTTTAAATAAAATTTAAAAAGAAAAAGGAGGGGTTGGGGATTTAGCTCAGTGGTAGAGTGCTTGCCTAGCGAGCACAAGGCCCTGGGTTCGGTCCTCAGCTTCAGAAAGAAAAAAAAAAGACAAAAGAAAAAAAAGAAAAAGGAAAATTAAAAAAATCTCAAAAGTTATTAAAAAATGACCAAATGTTAATTGTACATCTTATAAAATTTTGTCAGCATGGCAGTACACATTTGTAATCCCAGGACTCAGGAGACCACATATTCCAGGTTTTCCTGCTGAAATAGTGAGTTCAAAGACAACCTGCCCTACAGAATTGAAACCTTTTCTCGCTAAGAGAAAGAAAGAAGAAATTAAAACAAGGGGCTGGAGAGATGATTTAATGGTTAAGAGCACTGGCTGCTCTTCCAGGGGTTCTGAGTTAAATTCCCAGCACTCACATGGTGGCTCATAACTGTCTATAAGTGTTTTCCCGTGGGCTCAGATGCCCTCTTCTGGTGTGCAGACTTACAAGCAGACAAAACACACATATACATCATAGAGATAAATATATATGTTTAAAAATTTAAAACAGTAAAAATGGGGTGCAGTCAGCAAATCAAAGGTAGGGATGGATGTATATAGCTCAGCAGTAGAACACTGGTGCTGGGTTCCATCCTTAAGGGTTATCAGTGAATTTGGCAAAATGAGTAGAAATTATTCAGTTCAATCATGTGAATAATAGTGAAGAATGACTGGAAAAGAATAGCAGATTCTCGGAAGGGCAAGGCTTAATAATGAAAAAACCTGGGCATTGATCGCTGCTACCCTCAGAGTCTAGAGCAGAAAGAGGGTGTGAAACTCAATGACTGTTTCACGAAATCATCACCAAATGTGCTAGATTTGGCAAAGGATAGTAGCATAAAGAGTCAAGAAACTAAGCCATGTGTGGTTGCATCTACCTTTTATCCCAGCACTAAGGAGGCAGAGGCAGTTTAGTTTGAGGCCAGCCTGGGCTACAGTGCAGCCAGGGTTATTACACAGAGAAACCCTGTCAAGAAAAGCAAAAACAAAAAAATTTAAGGAACTTAACTGAGAATTCCAAATAAATAATTCATAGCTAAACTTTTTTTTTCTAGTTAGCAGGAACATTTACAAAAAGAAAGATAAAAATCTTGAAGCAGAAGGGGACTGGGCGCTGGGCGATGGTGGCGCACGCCTTTAATCCCAGCACAGGCTCCAAAGCCACAGAGAAACCCTGTCTCGAAAAACCAAAATAAAAAAAAAAAAAAAGAAAGAAAGAAAAAAGAAAAAAAAAGGGGGGGACTGGGCACTCCACTGTCTTTCAGGGAATGAGTGACAGTGTATTTCTGACAAAAGCCAAAGGACATATAATACAATAACAAGTGTTTTCTGAATGCTAACAGAAAATGGGTGACAATGGTTAACAGTGACGGCAAAGCTATCCAGAATAGAAGAGACAAATTCTTAAGTTTACTTCAAGGATAAATAAGAACATTTGTTATCTAATGGACAGACCTGTAGAGACAGCTAACAGAAAATCTCCCAAAAGATAAGATGTAACAGGAGGAGGCTTTGGAATTTCTACAACAAAAAGGCATAAAAATTATAAACTATCCTAAGCCATATTTTATTAACATAACAAAAATTCTAATGTCTTATGAGGCTTAAAACATGAACAAGAAACAAATCTGACACCTTTTATGCCTGTTAGTGTGTGTGCAGATCCATATGAAATATTTGTGTGGAGGCTGGAGGCCTGAGAACAACCTTAGGTGCCATCCTCAGGAATATCGTCCACCTCCTTTGAAACAAGGTCTCGTTGCCCTGAAGCTCACCATTGGACTATAGACTACCTGGCTGGTCACTACTTCCCCAGCACTGGAATTGCAAATAGGCATTTCCCTATGGATTCTAGTGACCAAACGCAGGTCTCCATATACCTGCTTTACCTACTGTGTTATCTTCACATCCATAGTACATTTTATTTTAAAGTGGAGTTAGGTGCTCAAAATATAGCTCATCACTTGTGTGTTGGCCTTGAATTTGCAAGTCTTAAGTTCCTTTGCAGAAAGTCAAAATGGGGTGCATCAAGGATTGTAAGTGGAGTAAAGGTTTAGTTTATCCTACGGTTCTCTCTCTGTTGCTGTAGTACTGACATCCAGTACTAACAGCAACTACTGAGCAAGGGTACAAAGCAATGAATTTCAAAACATTACTTTAAAAATTCTGAAAGTCCTTATAATAGCAAGAAAAGAGGATCTAAGATAGAAAATGTCACCTTTTTTGTCTTTCTGCTTTTAAGATTTCCTTATTTTTATTTCATCGGTGTTTTTGCTTCTATGTATCATGTGTATGTGGTGCACATGGATCCACTAGAACCTGATCTATATGCCACAGCATGGGTGCTATGAATCAAACCTAAGTCCTCTGCAAGACAGATTGGTGCTCTTAACCTTTGCAATCTCTCTAGTCCTTATTCTTTGGTTTTTGAGACTGGATCTCATATAGCCCAGACAGTCCTCAAACTCACTATGTAGCTAGATCTGACCTTGAACTCTAGCTGCTACTATCTTTCCATTATTAGAATTATAGGCATGTGCTACTGTGCCTGGCTCACCTTTTCATGTTTTCAAAGGACATTAGTATTTCTAGGATCTACTTTCGTATTCTTTTGACTCGTTTTCTTTTGAATTGTTGACCTTAAAAGACTTAGTGATAACTGGGCCTAGGTATAATGGCTCAGGCCTGTAATCACATCTTTCAGTTGATTAAAGTAGGAGGATCAGGAGTTCAAGACCAGCATATGTTATATGAGAGCCTGTCTTCAAAAAAAGAAGCAAATACAGGGCCTGTAGCTCAAGTGATACTATGCACACCCAACATCCCCAAAGCCTTGGTTGCCATCACATAAAGATAACAGTACAACTTTGTAATCCCAGCACTCAGAAGGTGAAGACAGGAAAATCAGAATCATCTTCATATATGTAGTGATTTCTAGGCCAACCCTGGCTACTTGAGATCTTTTAACAAAACAGGACTCCTGGTTTGTAGGAGTTATTTATATAATCTCTTTGTATTTGAGGTGAGGATCAATTATCTTCTTTTGTTTAGCAATTGCCTTTGGATTTTATGACTTTGCTTTTCTTTAAACTTTTTGTGGTTCCAGGTTTTGTACCAGTCAGAAAATCTTCTCCACATAAGGGCTCCACATTTCTTATTATCATAGAGCTACTAGGTAATGCTTATTAGCATCTGAAGTATCTCCTCTATGGAGAGGAGTTTTGCTAGCTTAGGCTGATGGCTTTTATTTTCTGTGGGTCTCAGCCGTGTTGGAAATCTAGGTCACTGTTAGAACTAGAGCAGCTTAATCTCACCCTCTGTAAGTGGTTCTCTACAGTAGAGGGAAAGGAAGTAAGGCCAGACATCAAATGAGCTGGCGTTTGCCCCATCTCAGCAACCTTTATTCCAGGGATAGACTATAGCAGAAGGGCTTTTTGTCCCCTTTGTTTTCAGGGAGTAGGTGTTTAGGTGACAGAAGCTCTTTGTTGGTGTCAAGGGAAAAGAGACCAAACTTTTAAGGCTGTTTTCTCCCACCAGTCATCACGGGGACTCCTCCTTCGCTTGCTTGAGCACAGAAGTGCTCCTAGAATTGCTGTGATCCGGGAGCGCAGGCCGATGTCCTCAGCAGCATCGCCCTGCAGGGCTCTCAGCCGAGCCTTCTATGTTTAAAATGGTTGTGAAAACACATTTGTTTAGGCTAATTCCCATTGACTCTCTGTAGGAATAGCCAGGCAAGAAGAAGAAAAGACTGCTGTGGGTGTGACAGGAAATGACATCTCTACCCCACCAAACAAGGAACTCCCACCAAGCCCAGAAAAGAAAGCAAAGGTAGGTGCTTGAATGAATGGTGGTTATCCTTTTCTGTAATTTTTAAATGCAGGACCTTCTGCTGTTATTGCTTGAATCATGAATGCAGTTTCTTTTTTTCTGAGCTATCCTGTCTTCCTTCAAATTTAGATGTTCTTAAAAAGGATATTCTCATTTTCTCATACAGCCTATCCCAAAGGTTAAAATCTTCTGCCTTTGCACTTTCACAGTATATCCATGTAAAATGTTCGTTAGATATTTGTTTGTTGTCTGTGCTAAAGATTGACCTGATGGCCTTGTACTTCCTAAGTACAAACACAGCACTCATGGATTTTTCAGACCAGGTCTTGATATATCCACCATAGTTGATATATAAATGACTTCCTTTTCTCTTACTAACAACAGAAAGCAATTTTAGACTTACTCTCAAATCTGCTTGTGAAAAGGAAATGAAGGTTTTCAGATAGAACATAGGGGGCACATTTTAGTTTTAGTTAAGCTGTCTGGTTAAGACATAGGTACAAAAAGCAGGTTGTGGTACGTATACCTGTCATCTCAGCAGTCTAGAAACCTGAGGCTAGAGGATCTTGAGCTGTATGCCACCCTGGGTAATATAGCGAGATCCTATTTTTCCTAAATGAAGTAAGATCTAGCCAGCAATGACTTAATCCCTTGCTAATAATGGCTTTAGTTGTAGTATTCTTTTTTTTGTTTTGTTATTTATTTTTCAAGACAGGGTTTCTCTGTAGCTTTGGGGCCTGTCCTAGAACTATTTCTTGTAGATCAGACTAGCCTCAAACTCACAGAGATCCGCCTGGCTCTGCCTCCCGAGTACTGGGATTAAAGGCATGTGCCACTTCCACCTGGCTTATTAATAGAATTCTTATAGCCACTAAAAGTTAATTAATACAAAGCTATTAATTGTCTAGGAATCAAACTGCTAGAATTTGTGGCGCTGTGATTTAAGAAAGCATTTCCACTGACATGGGGGTATAGTTCAGAAGTAGCATGCCTAAGACCTTGGGTTCAACTAAGAATAAAGAAAAAAAAATTATGGTTTCTTTATCTCCATCTTGATATCACTTTGGTTTTTACTGAGCTCAGAAGAAAGGAATGCTTATTTTCAGTTGCATCAATCCTCATTGCTTATAATTTACTTTGAATTCTACAGTTTATACTTTATTTTAATTTGTTTTTATTCTTGTCTGTGTGTTTGATGTTCTTTAAAAATTCAAAATTAAAAATTAAACAACCATCAACCTAAAGCCTTTGGCCACCACTCAGCCTGCCAAGACTTCAACATCGAAAGTCAAAACACAGTCCACTTCTCTCCCTAAGCAGCCAGCTCCCACCACTTCTGGTGGGTTGAATAAAAAACCCATGAGCCTCGCTTCAGGCTCAGTGCCAGCTGCCCCACCCAAACGCCCTGCTGCTGCCACTGCTACTGCCAGGCCTTCCACCCTACCTGCAAGAGACGTGAAGCCAAAGGTAAGCAGCTACCCATCTGCTGTGCCAGGAAAGATTCCCTCTCTGAGTTTCAGATCAGTAGATAGGCCCTTGCTACAGATGCTGAACTGATGGAATTGAGAAAGGAGAGGGAAAGTAGGTGCTTTGAAAGTCATTTGGGTGCCCAGTGGTGAGATCATAACACTTCAAAACCTTCTACCCTTTTTACCTTTGTCCGCCCTGATCAGAAGCAGTATTTCATCTACTTCATTCTTCTTCCTTTTTAATTTTTCTCTTCTTTCCTTTTTTTTCCAAGACAGGGTTTCTTTGTATAGCCCTAGCTGTCCTAGAACTTGCTCTGTCAACCAGTCTGGCTTCACTCAGTACTCAGATATCTTACTGCCTCTGCCTGAGTGCACCCCCACCACCCAACTTCTTTTTTTTCCTTAACTGTTCCTTATGTTTCACCTACTAATATATTTTGATCAGTTTCTTGTACTTCACAGACTTATCAGATACTGTTTGGGGT